CTCCAAACCATGTCCAACCTGGCCTTGGACACTTCCAGGGATGGAGCAGCCACAGCTTCTCTGGGAACCTGTGCCAGGGCCTCCCCACCCTCACAGGGAAGAATTCCTTCCCAATATCCCATCTAACCCTGCCCTCTGGCAGTGGGAAGCCATTCCCCCTTGTCCTGTCACTCTGCCTCTGTAAAAAGTCTCCCCCTCTTTTTTATAAGCCTCTTTAACCCAGCATGTTCCTGGATGTAATAAAAACATTTGAGTGCAACCTTCTGAATGCCCTCTGGTTTCTCTAGGATTAAGTTAATAAATGAGAAAGTAGAGGTCTCTTGTACCTTGCTGGTACTTTGGGGCAAAGAAGCACTTGGAAAAAACCTGAGTTCATAGTTAGCTGGGGATCTGGGGAGTTGTATTTCATTGCTAACTTGCCTTCCATGCCAATTTTCACTGGGTTTTTTAATCCCTGTTTTTAATATCCTCCTAAATTGATCAATCTCATCCTTCAAACTCTTGTAAGTATGAAATGACTGAAGAAGGAAATTGAGAAATACAGAGAAAATTACCTGGTCAAACTATTATTTAGGGATTGACTTCAGATTATTTTTTTTTAAAGCAAGGAAGAGAAAGAAATTCTTCAGTGGCTTGGAATTAACATAATTCAATTCTTCTCTTATTTGTTCAAAAACTTGGAAGTACCATTGATCTACCATATATCAGTGCTCAGGGGTTTCACTGGGGATTGTGTGATTTGACAACAAAATATGCTGTCAGCTGGGATCTTCTGCCCAGAACTTTCTCCAAGAGCCACATCAATCTCTTGCCAGATTTATTTCTTTTAACGTGGCCATTGACTGAAGTGACTTTTGTCTCGAAAATCATGTTCTATTTTGATTCGAGGGCTTATAGCTTACAGTATCCTCCATATTCAGGAAAAAAAATAGCACAGCCCACTTTATATTTGATGCCACAGCATTTTCTTGCCATCAGCTGAGCACAGCTCTTGAGACACTAGTAAATTAGTGGCTCCATTTCCATCCTTTAAGTGCAGTTCCAAAACTGAATGAGATCCTGGCATCTAGCTCCCAGGCAGTGAACCAAAGTCATTGTTGTTGGCTACACACTCTTTTCCAAGGATTTGCCAGAGAAGATTGTTGCAAACTCGCTGAAACTTAAGTACAACCTAAGTTAAGTTAGCTGGAAAAGGTGGCTCTTCCCTTAAATTCTGGGGTTAAAGCAGCTTTGTGGTGAGCAGATTGGAGGACTGGGCATTAGCAGGGACATTGCCTAATTGCAGTGGTTGGTGTGGCTGCCTTGTTTTGGAGGCTGAAGTGCCTGGTGTGTTTTTAAATTGCCCTTTGCCAAGTGAATAGGTGCTAATTTGCCTCCTCACAGCTGAGTGCTGCCTGGTTTTGCCGAATTCTGCCTGTGTCCCTTCAGCCCGTGCTAAGACGTGGGTGAAATTATTCCTTTGTGATGGGAAATGCTGTTGTTTTGCTGGAGTTTATGGTTGGGTTGCCTAAATTCTTTTAAACTCTGTCACGTTATTTGCATTCTATTGCTTTTCCAAAGTAGTGAGTATTAATTAGTGTTGTTTTTTGGCAAGGAATCCTGCCTTCCTCCTTTGATTATTTGGAAAAATGTGACTCCTTTTAGGCTGTTAGTAGCCTCTCCAGTTGTTTTGGAATGACACAGTTACCCCCTAAAAAAACCCAACTAAATGCTGCTTCTGTTGTTGGCTTGATCCAGAAGTGAGATCTGAAAAAGGTCCCGAGAAGGAAAGTTTTAGCAGTTTTTAATTTAGTGGCTTATTTATATTCACCTTTGCAAATGGCTCTAATCCCACCCACAGTCCAACAGCACAGCTATCAAGGATCGATCTGTTCCTGCCAAAGTTTAGTAACAAATCTTTTGAAAGGTCCCATGTACTTTCCCTGTTGTTGGGACAGTGAAGCTTTGCGGTGTTGGAAACCTCCCCAGGAAAACTGGGCAAAGCTAGGCTTCAAGGCTGGTTAAAAGAGAAGAAGGATTTGGAAGAGGGTTCTGAGGTCAGCTGATAAAGCTTTAAAAACTGAAGTAAAATGCACAAGCTTTCATTTGTAGCATGCAACACATTGTTAGTCATAGCTCCAAACAAAGTATGGGTTCTTCTTTATTCTTATCTCTAGAAGCCTTTTTCGAGGGAATTGGATGGAAGACTGCTGTTTAGATCCCTTTCCCCTTGTGCACACCTAATTTTCTTCACCCTGTTCTGATGCTCTTGAAGAGCATCTGGTTTGAAGCTATTGGTGATGCACTTGGGTTTAATCCTGATGGTAATTCCTGTTTTGCTGATGGAATTGTTATTGCATCACTGTTTTCTGGGGTTTATTTTGGTGGAAGAGTGTTTCTTGCTTCCGTCCTCCCTTGGTGTGCAATGTACTAATTAGACTCTAAACTTAAGGAATTGCTGAGTGTTTGCATCTTCCTTAAAAATCCAGCCCTAGGTACTTAATAGACCTGTTTTGGTGGTACCTTCACTCAGCACCTGATAATTCCTTGGCAATAAATATTAACACAGTTGCTTTTCTTGGGCCATGGTGAGATCTGGTGGTTCTTGGGACTGTGCAGAGAAGCATATTTTACTCATCTGCTCTTGGCACTTCTCTCTCAATATTTGAAGTCTCTCAAGGTGTGTATTTTTATCAGTGACTCTTAACTGGAGGTGGCTGAAAACTATCTCCTGTTTGCAGGAATTAAGGAGAGCATTGGGTCTGCATGCTGGAAAGCACCTTTTTGATCAGCAATAGACTTTTTGATTTGTGTGCGTTTAACCTTTTCCCAATATCATTCTGGTTTTCCTTTGCACAGGATGCTGTTATTCCCTACAAGGAAGTCCTCCAGATGTACTGGGAGAAAGCAACAGGCTTTGTGAATGCCCGATGTGCTGGACTTGAACCCTGGCAGCTCATTGGTTTGACCTTTTCTTCTACCCTTCTGAGTGTGTGGCTGCATGGCTTCCTCTTCCAGCCTGAGAGTGAGTATTTGAAAATGAGGGGTTTTCCTTTGTTTAGAGGGAAGGGAGGGGCATCAGAGTTGTTCCCAGGTAGTAGAAGGGAAAGGGGGTGAAACAAGGACAAACGCTTATTAAAACAGACTCTCTGCTGTCAACTAATGTTTACAAACCCCTCTTCCAAATTAAGGTGAAGACCTGTCTGATCGATGTAACACCTCCATTCCTTCAGAGGGTGCAGCAGCCCAGCCTGGAATGTGCCTCTGTCTCCTTCCCTTTCCCTTGTCTCTGTTTTTCTTTTGGCTGGACCATTTACTTGCCGCAACACTCTTGTTGCTCAAACGCTGGGGAGGTTTATCCCAGAGCCGGGTTCCTGTGAACTGAGTCACTGCTGCAAAGTGCCTGGATAACCCTTGGTTGCTTCCCTTCCTGCTGGGGGAGGAGATGTGGTTTTGATTTGGCGTTGGAGGCGTGTTTCGTCTTCAAGATGTTCAAGATAATTGCGTGTGGTGGTGTGAGTTTTGTTTGGGTTTTTTTGCTTGTTTGTTTTGTTTCTTTTTAAATTTTATTTAATTTCCGGACCCTCTTCCTGTTTTGAGTGATTTCTGATGTTGACAGTGGGATCTCTTCTGGTGAACTTGCAGTTTCCCCTGGCTGTGTTATGGCCAGAGATCACTACCTTGCCCTCAGAGAACACAGTGCTTTTCATTTCCCACAGGCCTTAGGATTACACTCCAGTGGCAGCTTGTTAAAAACAGCCAAGTTTGTAACTTGATGTCAACCTCTGTGTCTCTGTTTCTCAAGCAGGCCTTTGTCTTTCAACAGTGGGAATGTCTGTAAGGAACAAATTGGTGTGAAGCTTTTGCTCAGGACAGGGTTATGTTATTTTCTTGGCTAGTATTTGTACTGTTGCACAGTGTATATTTTTAAAGTATTGACTTAAAAGGTTGTCTGAATATTTCAGGAGTTTGAAGTCTTTACTCACTGAGAAAATTGATAATGAAATTGTGCACAGTGAGATGTGCAGCAGAAATGTTGTCAGAGCATTGAGTATTTGCTACAGAGTGTTCCAGTTAGTGTCCTTAGGTAGCCTTTCAAATTGTACATATGAAGTGAAATATATATATGAAGTGGGAGGGGAAAGTGTAAATAAAATTGCCAAGTCTTGAAAGGGTCGATTTTTTTTAATCTTTTGTTGAGTTATTTCTTGGTGTAAGTGTCCTGTGGGCGTGCAAGTGAAATGCCTCCAGGACTTGGCAGATGTTTTCGGTGGCTATAAAGCATCTGTGTCATCCTGATTTCATTCCTGCCTGTAGAGCTACCCTAGGAGTTTTCCAGTGCTTGTCATCAATGGCTTGTCTCATTCATGTGGTGCAATTTCTGCTTTTCCCTCTGTCCATCCTCTTTCCCTGAGTCACCTCCCATTGCATCATGTTTCCTACCTCTGGTGGACACACATGGGGCAAATCTGTGTTGTGCCACAGCTGACATGGTCACAGATGTCACTGTTTCCTCTTTGGTCTGGGGGCCTGTTTCACATCTTAAGTGTTTTTGTTTTCTAGTACTATTCTGGTTTGAAGAGGCAGAAGATAATTTCAAAAAGTACTTTCCCTTTTTGCTAGAGACTTTTCCTTTAGCAGACTCTGAAATCCCTCTCTTTCCTGTAAAATTCCACAGGTGGGTGTGAACTGCTTTGTAAGAAAGTCAAATTATGGATTCCTGTTCTGCAGTCCAGATGTTTCCATAGCATGGCCTGCTCCTGAGCCTTGTTCTTCAATTTTCTCATCTATCCCCTTGGTCACTGAATTATTTTAGCTTGGATCAGTGATGCTGAACCTGGATCATGGTCTCTGTAAGAAGTACTGTGCTCAGAGTCCCTTTTTTTTTCTTGACTCATTATAGGTTCATTTCTAACTTTTCTCTTTCAGGTTTGACATCTCGAACCAAAAAACAGTTCTTTAAACTGCTGAGAAAAATGCCACTTGTTGGAGCCATAGTAAGTATTGGAACAACTACTTCTGGTATTATCCCAGGTCCTTGTTTCAGCTCTCTTGGAGAATACACAGTTCTGTGCATCTTTTTCATGTCACTGTGATCATAATGATCCAAGGATATACAACTGGAATGTCTTCTGCTGCCAGCTGGTTGAATGACAGATTTAATTTCTACCTATTCTTTTTGTCATAATATCGCACTCATAAAATGGAGGTGCCAGATTCTTTTAATTTTTTTATTTGTTTTAACCAAGAATCAGTGTGGTAACAGAATTTTCCAGTAACATTTCCTCATTGTTAGATTTCAAGAAAATAATTTTAATTCTGGGAGAAGGAGGACAGGATTAGAACTTGAGTTGCTCTTCTGAAACAATGTCAAGTGTGAGATAGCTAAGTTGTGCAACTTGGAAGGATATTTATTTTAATCAGGGAACTGGCTGTGATTAGTTTAGGGTTCAGATAACTATTAGCAGTAATTAGCAGTATAGCACAAGGCTATCAGAACTTTGTGTAATCATTAAAATGACATGAGCTGTGGTTTGGGAGATTCTTTTTTTGCACGGAAACTTGCAAGCACAAATGTCAGCATGTTTTAGCACGTTAGCAACTTAGTGATGAAGAAATGCCCAGCTGGGTTTGTTTTACCTGGTAAATGATGGTATCACACTTGATGGCACTGCTTTCTGCTTAGTGTGTTGGCATATTTGCACATTGACCGAGGGGTCAGATCTGTTACAGATAATTTTATCAAGAGAGTAGGGCAGAGGAACTCTTTTTCCTTTTGCTGTAGACACAGAAGGAGTTCTCCAATTCTCCCCCAGCCCTCCGGAAGGGAGTAGCATCCCCTCTTTGTTATATAAAGTACCTCAACTTTCACCTTCTCACCTGAGTAGCCCTTGATCAGATGAGTTCTCTTCTGCTTGTATTTTTTGCCTACCTCTTAGAAAAGGACACCTTGTACAATTCCTGTTGTGTCCAGGCTTTCCCTCCTTGGGGCTGACACTGCTCTCCTGTGCCAGAGGACTCCTGCTGTGCCCTATCTGTGTGCTGTCCTTGCTCTTTGGTAGGTTGATAGCTGATAACCTGTCAGTTGCTTACTGTGAGGACTTTGAGGCATTCCAATGTCCAAAAGTCACTATCCCAACACCTGTGTTGCCTGGAAAAAGAATCTTTACTTTGGAGCGTTCTGTGAGAAAAAGTCTTGAGTTTCTTGGGTGTAAGGTGTGAGTGAGAAGAAAGAAATCTCTGAACTGTGCCTGTAGTGGAGATTTTTTTGTTGTGTCTCTGTTTTCATGAGTTTCTAAACTGTGTGTGTGGTGGCAGAGGAGGCAAGGTACAGACCAGAACGCATCTGAAGGCTTCTGCAGAGTAAAAACTGTGACTTAGAGAGGTTTGGTGGATAAAAATGCAGTTTTCTCAAGCATTAAGGGAGGGTCTCAAAACTCCTACTGCTCTTCCATACCCAGTGGAGAATGTCCTGTGTCTGGATGTTGCAGTGGTGGTGTCGAGCAGCTGAGCAGGGGCCCAAGTGCCACTCTGCAATGGCTTAATGGGCACAGTTCTGGGCTGTGCCAGCCACCATTCCCACAGGTTTAGAGCCTGGTGTATGCCAGTTTGCTGTTCCAGGCAGCTTGTTTTTGGAGGGAGAGGTTGGCAGGAAGGAGGCTGTGGCTCTTTGATCACAGAGCTGAGGCAATTCCTGTTCTACTCAGCACCACTGATGTAACCAGTAGGTTCTGTCCTGCACACACTCAAGTATTTGTAATATGGCCAGTGCCACTGTTTCATAGGTTTTTCCTTTCTCTTCAGATTCAAAAGAAGATTGATGAAGCCTTGAATGATGTCACGTCCAGTTTATCCTTCCTGAAAGATGAAAAGGATTATATCAAAGCGCTGCCGGAACAAGGCATGAGCCAGCCCCAAGTGCTGGAGAAGATGAAAGAGTACAGCTCCAAAGGTGAGTCTGTGCTGCAGCAGAAGTGGGTCTGTCAGACACCTGATATTACACTTGCTCTCTTAAACGAATTCCAGTGACTCCTGCACATGGCTTCCCCTTAAATATTTCATCCCTGATGCTCTTGGCTTGCAGGTTTTTCTGTTTACCTTCTGGAAGTGACTAAGATCTGTGTTTATGACTTTTAATACTGTATTTGGGTATTCACACTGAAATTCCATTCCTTCTCCAAGAATTCTAGACTGATGGAGAGGTGGGAGAGCTGAGGAGAATAGAAATACGGAGGAAGTTATCCGAATGCATTTTGGTTTGCATTTCTGAGCAGTTGCCTTGATGTTTTACCAGAAATGTGTTTTCTGTGAAGCCCCAGGAAATACTCATAATCAAAAAAAATGCAACTTCCAAGTAGGATTTTTAGGGAATTTCCAAGACTGTCTCTCTTAATTGAAGTGACCATAATGGTCTGCACCTTGAAAAAGCCTTTTAAGGAAGGAAAAGTCATGCTGTTGTTCTGCTGGCTGGAGCCCACATAAGCAGTGTTTGGCACTTGATTTGAGTTGCCTCTCTCCTGTAAATATCTCCACCCTGATTTGTGGAACTGTTACCCCTAATGAGCAAATCTGGGTGACTTCCTGTCCAGAGGAAAAGGTAGTGACTGCCCTGCTCCTATCCCAAATTTGAGAAATGCCTTGAATTTTCTGTTACAACAGTGCATCTACTCCAGATTCAGAAGCAGATTCACAGCAGAGTATCCTGTAACAACTTCCTTCTTTTCTGCTGATGTGTATTGCTAGTGCTGCTTCTGTCTATGTTTTCCCTTAAATTATTGTTTCCTTCCCTCACTGGGTTCTTTTTTCTTTTCCTGAGGTTTCCCCCTTTGCCCCCCCCGCTCTCCTTTGGAAGTTGCCTGGAAATACTGGTTTAGGTGACATTTGACTGAGGTGCCTGGTGTGCTGTAGGTTTTAGCAGTATAAACTTGGCCTTTCCATCTCTTCTCAGCTTACAGTGGTTGTGGGTGCTCTTTGAAAGTGGCTTCAATTTCGCCAATTTAGTGTTCGGTTGGTTGAACAGCAGTTTGGGGAGACTGGTGGGGATTAAGTGGATTACATATTAGTATAACTGCTTGCTTGCTGTGTGTTATGTGCTGACTCTTCAGTCATTGTTTACTTGCTGTTTGCCAAGTTCACACAATGCCAGGGGCTCAGCCCGACACACAGCTGCCTCTGGGGCACAAAACCCAGGGAAATCTCAAAAGCTGAGTCCTCATCTGTAGAACCAAGGGTAGAACTTTTCCATGCACTTTTCCACACTCCCTGAGAATGGCTGGGTTTGTGAGCAGTGTGCTCTTCCTTCTCTTTCAGGAGACGTACGTTGGCAGGACGGGAAGGTCTCTGGGACTGTGTACAGTGGTGAAGAGAAGCTCACCCAGCTGCTAGTGAAGGTAAATTGCAAGCAGTCCAACTTTGCAGATACCCTCTGCACCTTCAGGGTGACCAGAAACCCCTTAATGCTGTTCCAGCACCTCAAAATAAATAGGGAAGATGAATAACTTAAGGCTGCCCAAGTTTATAAGCAGCCTGGAGTAGATGTAGGAGGAATTAGTAGCGAAGCATTTGAGCAGCGTAAATCTGGCCACATAACTGTCCCTGCAAAAACACCTCGTAGAGATAACTGAGCCAGTCAGGTGAGATGTTTTGAGTGAGAAGGTAAGGAGCTGGTTTCAGGTGAACTGGAAACTGGTACTGGAACAACTTTCACTGTGCAAAACTAAATCCTTCTTGGTTTAAATAAAAGAGAAGTTTGTAAAGTGTTGCCTTTTTTTTTTTTTTTTTTTTTTTTTTGGCTTGGCTGAGTGGTCCAAATCTTAAACAATGGAGCACTGGCATGTTTCAGTGGTGTCTTTGTTAGGTCTGTTTACCTGCTCAGGAACTTCTCCCTTTGAGGAGGCTGGAGAATAACCTGAACAGCCTAAAGGTCTGTTTACTAGTACATTTCCTACCAGAGTTCTTTTGCTAGGAAAGGAAGTCTTACTCCTGGGAACAGCTTTTGTAACAAGTGTAATGAGCTCTGTTTGGTGGTTTCTATTGCTGTTTTCTTCCTCGTGTTGACATTTTCTTTGCCACTTCAAGGGAAACATAAAGCTCAGAGCAGCCTTTCTGGAGGGGCCTCAGAGTGTTGTGGAAACATTCCCTCTGTTTGTGCTGATTATTCTGCTGTATTTCTTTTAACATCCCTGCAGTTGCTTTTTGATCTGGACTGCAGGAGATTGGAACTGGCCTGTTCCAGCCTTATATCCTGTGAGTCCACAGTTACAGAAAAGCATGAAATACTGGTTTCCACATCCACTTTTGTTGTGGTGTGGGTGGCCATTTGTGCTTTTTTTTTTTTTTGTGCTTCAGAATTCCCCCTTAATAGTAAACTTGAAAACTAGTTCTGCAAAGGAGGTTTTTTGGCCTGTTTTGTGTAAAGTGATCTCAGAGTGCGTGTTGTTCTTTTTTAAAAATTGTCTTTACAGCAAGAGCTATTGATATGTTATAGGATCAACCCAAAGGTCAAAATGCCCTAGAAAAACATGTTGTTTTTTTAAAAATTTTTTTTGCTCGTCAGCTTGTGGCATTTACTTGCAGGAGCAGTTAAGTCCAAGGAGATCCGCAGTGTTCTTATGGTTAAATGCAGCTAATTTACTTATACAGTGCACATGGGGAGTTCTCAAAGCTGCATTGATAATCCAGTCCTCCATCTGCAAGGCTGACTTTCTGTCTTTGTTTCCTGAAGGTGTATGAAGAGTTTGCCTGGAGTAACCCTCTCCATCCGGATATATTCCCTGGCCTGAGGAAGATGGAAGCGGAAGTAGTGAGGATTGCCTGTACACTCTTCAACGGGGGCCCCAAGTCTTGTGGTGCTGTAAGTAGCCTGTCTTAACTTCCTGGACATTTTGGATATTTTTAACTCTGATAGGTGCAAAGGCACCTTGTGCTCTGCAGATGAGACTGAGGTCGAGCTCACTCTGGGATATTCCATGCCGATGTATCTGTGTGCTGGAGGATGGTTGCTTTATTCCTCTTCTTGGTGAAGCTTTATAAGAGACAATTTGACTCAGGGAAATAGTTTTCTAGACAAGACTATTTAGTTCAGCTTTTTTTTCTCCACTTTTAAATGACACAGGCTCGATGGCAGTTGGAAAAGAGAAGTGGTGTAATGCAGCCTGGCTGGTGGTCCGTGGGGGATGGTGAACAGAGCAGTGTTACTTTGAGTAGCTCCCCTCAGTTTTAGTCTCTGGACTGGAAATCTGTAGCCTGGCAGATTGCTGGGATTGAGGGCAAGGCCAGCTGGCTGGCTGGTCACCAACAAGCAGGCATGGCATGTATTGTCAGCTGTCCAGCTGGAAAGCTGTGTTTCCAGGCTTATGTGGCCTTCCAGTGCACTACAGCGGAAACCAGTTTTACAGCCTCGATAAAATTCCTAGCAGGAGTCCAAATGTGTGTTCTTAAACTGATTCTTTCAGTGTTGGTCAAAGAGCAAAAGATAAGAAGTTGCACGGTGAAATATTGTTATAAAAATAAATCATGTCTTCTTTCCCTCCTCTCTCTCCTTTTGGTGAGGATCCCGAATTCCCGAGGGCAGGTTCTCTCCCTGTTTACATGGTGTGTGGGACAGTGAGGTCTCATCTCCTGGCACGGTGGTTAGGTGCAGCTGGCAGACAATATTTGAGAAGAGTTAGTTGAGTCTGTGAGAAGAATCCGGATGAGGTTTTCCAGAGACTGGCAGAGGTGCTTGGTGTAAAATGTGCTGGGGAGGGGAGAAGGCTGGCGGTGGCTGAAGGTCACTTGGGAAGGCAGTGTTGATGGCCTTGAATGGGCTTGAATGGGCTTTATCTGTCACTTGGAGGCTTGGTTGTGCGAAGGAGTTAAGTACTGGAGTAGCCTTATAGTAGGTGTAGTTGGGATCAGACTCCAGCTGCATTGAAGCTGAAACTCAGCAGTGCACTGCGTGGGAGTATAAGATGTGATTGCCTTTGATAGGAGGAAGTGATACCCTGTGACCTGACTTGTCTTCTCAGGACTGTATTCCTTGTGCCACCTTCAAGTGTACAGAAGGAATGTGCCTCTTTGCTTTTATAAGAAACGTTTCACCTCGGCTCCCTCCTGGCTTGCAGTGCTGAGAACGGGGGTGAGATTATCCCTAGAGTGGGGAGGAGGCTGGGGATCAAGCTGTTGAAACTGGTTTTTATCACCAGTTGGGACATCAACTGATAAAACAGGCAGATAGCTGTGTGCTGCTGATGGATGCTTGGAGAACTTTGCTTGCTGAAGCCTGCAAGGAGGACATTCGGGGTTTGTTTCGTAAAATGTGTTGTAAAAGCGTCACCTCGGCCCTGTGTGCTCCTCTACTGAAACTGAAACGTGGAATTGCTGGAGAGGAGGTCAGAACAGGTAAAAAACTGCTCCAAAATGGTAGGACTGTGACACAGCCAGTGTGAGACCTTCTGCTTTTCCCTCAGTCCTCCCCTCCCTCCTGAGGATGGTGCCATAAAGCCAAACAAAGGAGCAAAGCGGACACACAACCTGCCGTGGAGTTACATCCCAGCTGGATGAACAGTCCCATTTGCAGGGTGAAGGGGAGGGCTGAAGAGTTGATTGGCTGGAAACAGAAGATTAATTGCAGCCCTGTAATTATCATGTCCAAACAAGTGTCTCCAGTGGACTTTTTGTCTTCCTCCCACGTGTCCCTTCCTGACTGGGAAGCATCCAGAGTTGCTAATCATTGACAGAGAGATGTGGGTAGGTGTATGGAGGTCACATGCTCTTTAAGTAGTTGGCCTCAAAGACTTCTTATTTTCTTCTTTCCAAAGCTGAATTAACATTTCACAGTAACTTCTGGAGACTTGGACAGTTACAAAGTCATTTAAAAAGAGCATTTTTTCCAACTGATGCAATGGTTTCTCAGGAAGGCCCTGCTGTAGCTGGTGGCTCAGACTACCACAATTCCACTTCAGTAGCTGGTGAGGCTGTAAAACAGAGGCTTTAAGGCTAAACCAGGGAGGGTGCAATGCTCTGAGTTACCTTTAAATTGATCTGTTCATGAGGGGCCACTGGCGTGTTCTGCTGAGAAGGCTTCTGGTTTACTTGATTCCACTTTTGCGGTGTTGAAAATTAATTTCTCTGAATGTCACCACTGCCTTCTCTGAGAAGCAGTGTGTCATAGTGCCAGGCCCCCTGGCCACTGGATTTAAGCAGCAGGGACTGCTTGGCCAACTTTTTGGTGCCTGGTTGTGGTCCCTGAAGGCAAATGGAGCTTGCTGGTGTTTCTGGACAGTGTGTCTGTGGCTATGCTGCGTGGAAAATGCCAAAAGTTTCTGTCTGGACTTCTCAGTGAGGCAGTTTCACTTACTCTGTGCTCTGATTTCCACAGCATGTTGCAAAACAGCATTTTGTGGGACTGATGGTCTGCTTTTCAGTCTGGGAAGAGCAGCACGGTGCCACATTTGTGCTGTTCCTGAGGTTTTCACACATCTCTGTGTGGTCCTGCCCTGTGTCGTGTGGACACCTTCCTCAGCAGGAGCTCTGGGGAGCAATCCCCTGCTCCCTCTCCGAAGGTTTTTGGTGTGTTTAATAAATGCTAAGATGAAACCTATCTTTTTTAGGTTTCTGAATGTTAAACTAGATGAGCAGGCTGCATTATTTACAGGAGTTGCCTTTAGCTGAGCCACGTGGGCTGTAATTTTTTCTCTTAAACACAGGCATAAAACCTCTAACAATGCCCTGGTGGTGGGGGATGCAGACATGCCTTTGCCTTAAATTGCTCTGAGAGATGTTCCAGGTTTTTAAGCAGTTTTAAAAGCAATCATTTTCAGCAGTGGATGGATGTTTCCTATTTCTCACTAATTACTACTATTGTTCTTACTTTTAATTGTGTTAGGCAAGAGCAAAGAGACAGCAGTTGGGGAGTTTTGGCACCTGGGAGATTGTAATCACGTTCTTGCAATGATTTGGAAGGACTAATTAAGCTCAGCACTGAGAGGAGGAACTGGGGGATTCATTCCTGTCTGCTGTGTGTATGTGTTTGTGTTCACAAGGTGCTTTGTTTTGCACCGCCAACTTTGTGGGTTTCACCTGTAATTTGGGGAGAAATCACCACTTTTATGCAAGCTTCAATGATTTGTGTGTTCTAAGCAGTTTTTTGACCTTTAAAAAGAAAGGGCAGCTTTGAAGTGTAGGGAGAAACTGTGTTTGGAGGTGTACATGTGCGTCTTTGATGTCAGTCTCTCTGTGAATTCCACTTTTTCAACAGCTGAGGACAGAAGTGGGAGATGAAATCAGCAGATGCAAACCTAAACCTCCTGTAGAAACCCATTTTATCTCTTCTCCCCAAACTCCAGGGCTTCCAAACTTTGTCCTGTTGCTGGCTGCACATTTGAAGTGAACAGTGAAATGTAAGTGATGTGTCTTGAGGGGAGGCTTAAACTGTGCAGATCCGTCAGATTTTATCTGGACTGATGAGCAGGTCACCTTGAGACAAGACACAACTAGTGGAATTTACAACCGCAGGTTTACAGGGGGTTTATGGGAGGCTGCTACAACATTATGACCATGCAGTGGATCGGGGTGTATTTTTTTATTCTAATGCTACCTTAGAAATAAATTATAGTGTGCTTTTTTATTCATGGGGTAATTCAGCTCAATGAATTTTTTGGTCAGCTTTGTCTCCAGGGCCTGAATGGAGGCATTTCTTACGGTGAAAATGCAAACAAAACTTGAGAGCCCACGAACCAAAGTGGTTCTTTTAATGTCTGACAGCTTAACAGTGACATACCAGGGAAATCCTTGAATAGGGACTGTACCTCTTACTGCTGTTTGTAATGTCGAGGGTCCAGAGCAGTGGGATTTGGAGGGAGGGAGCAACAGATGCAATATACCTGGTTGAGAAAGCAGGAGGGATATTTATTCCCTGTGCTCTCTCCTCTCCCCTCCCATTTGGAAAACAATAAATAACTCAGGAACACAAAAAGTCTGTTTACTCGCCTTTTCCCGCACACTTTGCCCGGCTCTTGAAGATAGCACAGGGTTGGAAAGCTGCTTAAAACAATGCCTGTTTCCAGCCCCCTTTTCCCATGGCACGGCTCGAGCCTGTGGGCTTCCATTTGGAGGAGGGAGAGGGATGTGTGCGAACCCTTGGTGGTGCTGAATCACTGCGTGCTGGCCGGGTGCCGGCTGCCCCAGGCGCTGGGGAAGTGCGATCCCGTGACAGTGATTCGGGCTCTGGCTACAGCAGAACGGGTTTGCTGTGGGTAGCTGAGCTGCCAAAGTCTCCTATACAAAAGAGCAGGCTCCATCCACAGGTACAATCTGTGGGGACCAGAAGGATTTGGCTGTTGTAGCTGTACTTGGCTAAAGGTGCTGCCTCCAGGTCAAGCTGCTCTGGTACTTCTCTCTGGCGGAGACTTGTGATGTGCTGGCTGTGGGCCAGTTTAGGAAGCTGAGCTGGCTGAAATTTAGCCTTTTGGGTGGATTTTCAGCTGCTTGAACAAGCTTTCTGTGTGGTTGTCTGCATGCCAGTCCTGCTGCCCCGGGGGTAGGATCCATCCTGGATGTTGTTCCTTATCCTGCACGTGACCGACTGCTGACAACTGTTGACTCTGACCTACCAGAAACTGAGTATGGCTCAGCGTTTCCACGCAGGTGATAAGCCAGACTTTGAGGAAAGGTTTGTTTATATATAGAGGCAAGATGGTGGTGTTTTGGTGGAAAGACTGAAATATGGGAATAAGGCTGGTTTTTTTTTTTCAAGAACAGATTATCTAGATGAGAGTAGGGAATGCTTGCCCAGCAAGGAGCAGGCCTGATAGCGTGGAGTGCCTGGTGTTCAGTAACATGAATCCCAAGATCCCAAAGTCCTTCCTGGCAAAGTTTTCACAATCATTGCAATATCTGTGTTGCAAGGAGTGTTACAAGTACGCAGTAATTCCTCTTCTCCCACCCAGTAGGAAGGAAGGCAGTCCCTGTTATACCAGCTGGGCTTTTTTCCCCAGTGGTAATAGCTGACAGCTTGACAGATCTTTTCATAAGAGAGTTGAGAAGTGAGTGACACAGCCCATAAAAAACTTAAGACGTTGTGTTCCTGCTACCATCCGTTTGCTTCACAATTAATGCAGCGATGTCTTTATCCAGTGTGAGGCTCTGTTAGGTTTTATCTGTGACAGCTGTTGCTTTTAAACTACCAAAAAAAAGCAGAAGTTGTCTGTGGTGTGACAGTCACTTCCACACTTGCCTGTGCCAGCAGCTGCTGCTGGCTTGGGTCCTGTTAGGAACAAATGTGGCAGGCTGGTTTTTGTGCCTGTGAACTTTGTTCCTTGTCTCTGTACTTAATGTTTAGTCATTGTCACACAGTCACACCTCTTTTTATTTTGGGGGTTTTCAGCTATGTCAGCTGGGAAAAAACCCAAGGAAACCCCAAACTTAGAGGTGTCATAAGACATAAAAATGTGATTGCATCCTTTTAATGTTTATTTCTGGGAGGAAGAGGTTAAAAGGGGAAGTTGCAGTTGGTTCAGCAGATCTGAGGATCAAAACTAGTCCCCCATATGCCTGATAAGCAGCTTTTGATTCCTCTTTCACCTGCACTTCTGTGTAACTGTCCCAGGTACCCCCTTGCCTCAGGTTATGGTTCTCCCAGTAAGGGAGTCCTGCTGGCTGCTTGAGAAACCAACCTCATGTTTTTCCAGGTTAAAATTTTACTGTGGAAGGTTTGTGCCCGGTGTCCCCTGTGTGTCAGAAGTCATAAAGCCTGGCCAAGAAGAGACAGTCCTCCCACTTGAGGAATCGCTTCTTGTAAAGAGTTTAATTTATGTATTTGCAGCACCTCTTGAGTTCCAGTCTGCAACAATAAACCTGGGTATACCTTCCCCTCTTCTAACTCCTGGTGCAAACCCCCTTTGTTCTCCTCTGGTCAGGGTAAAGAGGGCTGGGACAGCACAGCTGGTGGGTTATGTGGATACTGAGGGGCTTGCTGGGGAGAGGAAGACAGAAATTCCTGCTGGTGGGTCCTTGAGGGCTTAGAAGCCCTGGTGTTGAGAAGGCCTAGGCGGGGCTCTGCAGAGAGAAGGTGGGAGAGAGCTCTGTGTCCTGCAGTTCTCCAGGTTATGGGAAGGTTTTGTAGCTCAGGAGCAGTGCCAGCTCTGAGCCCTGAGCTTGACTCTGTGCCTCAGTGTGGCACTGCTCCAGACCTAATAAACCCTGCTGGACTGCAGTTGACTTAACACAGACTCAGCTTTGTTGTTTCTGTGTACGTGGCATAATTAATCTGTAATCCTGATAAACAATCCCCAAGTAATCAAGAGCTAAAGTACGTACTTGCAGTTTTGTGAGGTGGAGTGTGTTTGCCAGCTAGTGACTATGCAGTGTGGTCCCCTCCTGTTAGACTTTGGAGTTGAATACTTTATTTTGTTTTCCCTTTCCCCCACCCCATTTAAATGGAGAATTCAACATTTAAATGTGTGTTTTCAAGCTGAATGTCAGAAAGCTGCCTCGTGCTGTTCAGTGGCTTCTGCTGCCTTGAAACCCCAAGTTGTCCTGTGGCTGAATCCCTATGTTTTTGCTTTTCCCTTCTGCAGCATGCATGTTAAGCAGTTGTTTTAACTTGTTTGCTTCTTTCCTTCCTGACAGATGACATCTGGGGGGACTGAGAGCATCCTGATGGCCTGCAAGGCCTACCGAGACCTGGCGTACGAGAGAGGCATCAAACAGCCAGAAATGTGAGTGGTACCTCCACAGCTCTTGGCTTTGGGGGCTTGTGGGATTTACTGTTCCTCTTGAGCTCAGGTGGCTGATGGACCTCAATAATCCTTCATTTCATAGCTCATTACCACCTCCTCCTTGTCCATCTCTGTCTGGAGGAGAGAACCCTGGGTGGAAAGAAGTGGTTCAAAAATGGTTCAAAGGCACAGGAAGCTTTAAGCAGCCTGGGGGGCACAAATGTTGCTGGGGGGGCTGTGATGAGCAGATGTATTTTGACAATACCTGTCTGCTGCTCTAGACAACCTGTCCATACCAGCTTTGGGCCTCTCTTGAGCAGAGATTGTCAGGCCCTTTGAAGTATTTGAGGGTTTTGATTTATTCAGATCAAAGAGGGTTTAGCCTTAAAATGCTCGGACTGGTTGGAGCTCAAATGAGGAATTGTGCTAATCATTACACTGCTAATAGAGGATTTGCTGTCTCTAATGTGCTGCTTCTTTTCTAGATGGTGCAGCAAAACTATTTCTCTGGTTAATTGCTGATGAGGGGAAAATGTAGAAAGAAATTAAACACTGGTGTTCGTCTTCTGCTGAATTCCTGTGGTTCTTTTCTTCCCTCTCTAACGTTTAAGGCCCTGATAATGATACAAGGCCTTAGAAAACAAGGTTAATTAAGGCTGTTCAAACAGCCTCTGCCATTTGAGATGGGAGACACAAATGTTACATTCATTTGGTATATTTATGCTGCTCCTTCCTTTTTGTATCATCTCCTCTCGGGGAGGGTGGCTGGGGGAAGATGGAGATGGTACAATACTGTTTGATATGACAGGAAAGTAGGTTTCTTGGGAATTCTAGTTTCTGGTTGACAGAAGGCCATGCAGAGGGTTGTTCAAGATGGAGTGTCCATCATGTTAATCTAGACCAGGTGTTGCCTGGGTTGACACACACACACTCTGTTACTTTTCCAGGTTGGTCCCGGTGAGTGCCCACGCGGCATTTGACAAGGCAGCACATTACTTTGGGATGAAGCTGATTCAAATCCCATTGACCAAGGCTATGGAAGTGGATGTCCAGGTATTGCTTTAGGCAGCACGTTGCTCTTTCTGTGAATAATTAGCACTGTACAGCAACTAGCAAGAAATCTACCAATCCAGGTAGCAAGAGGGATGGATGCTTTCTGGAAACAAGGAAAAAGGGCATGAGGGAAGTGCCTGTCACTGCACATGAGACTTTAAGTTAAAATAACTGGATGTAAACCATCCCTTTGCCTTGTTTGATTAATTCAGGATCAAGTAATTTATGTATTTCAGAAATAGCTCCAGATTTCAGATGGGGGTGAACAAAAATGTTCCAGGATTTCTAGGTGGATGAGTTAATGCCTGCTGGTGCTTGTGGCTCGTTGTTTTGCTCTCTGCTTTTTGTGTGTTGGTTTTTAGGACCAGACTCTGCATGTTTTCACTTTTTGTCTTTTTTGGCAGGGTGGCACTTGGTAAATGGAATGTGAGCATCTTCTCTCTTTAAATCTTCAGGCAATGAGGAGAGCTATCTCGAAGAACACAGCCATGCTGGTCTGTTCTGCTCCCCAGTTCCCACATGGAATTATGGACCCTATTGAAGAGGTGGCAGAGGTAGGATACCCCTCCCTCCAGGGACTTCTGTGTGTTGTAGGAATAAAGCAGCACAAGAAGAGCAGAGGGGGCTTCCAGGATGCCAACCAGTGAATTTGGTGGGAGAAGCACACTGGTTGAAGGGTAGTACTGTCCTCAAATGAGGTGTTGACCAACAGCAGAGTATGTAGGATGCAATTTGGGAGTGATATTCCTTGATACCTGAAACAAAAGAACAGCTAAATAGTCCACCTGGTGAAAAGGCTTTGTTTTAGGGGGCCTGATGGTTGTGTCAAAATTGGCGTGGAAGTCTGAGAAATTGTGTGGAGGGAGTTAGGAGTCAAAGGGCTGAGGCTTTAGTTTTCAGACACAGCTCTTGATTTCTTCCCTCTCTGTGCTCCAGTTATTTATTTTGTGTGGAACCAGCCAGGGCCTCTGACCTTCTGTTCGTTTGGCTCACGCCCTTATCCTGCATCGAGGATACTCCTTTCAGACCGTGTTGCCATATCCCTTTGGCAGACCAAAATGCCTTGGTTTTCCTCTGTGCAGAAGGCAGGAAAAGGTGTCCCAGAGGTAGCCAGCCCTTCCAGATCTCCTATCCTTTTGAGATAGGCTTGAGAAATGGCATGATGCTCCCAAAGGCTCCAGTGAACATTTATTTGTGAAATGGCAAGTATATCTTGGTGACTGGAGTTTGGGTGCCCCAGCCCCATAATTTTCTTCCCTGGTCTCTTGTTCACACACAGCTGGCAGTGAAGTACAAAATCCCCTTCCATGTGGACGCCTGCCTGGGTGGATTTCTCATTGCTTTCATGGACAAGGCAGGGTTCCCTCTAAAGCATCCCTTTGACTTCCGTGTAGAAGGTGTGACCAGCATTTCTGCTGATACCCACAAGGTAAGAAGAGGGTCTTCCAGTGCTTTCGTTTTTGGGGTGTGATTCCTGTTGCCATCCCTGCCTTCAGGCATTTCTTCTCTGTGGGAGGGAGCACTGAGGTGCAGCGGTAGGGGCTGCTCTGTTCATGTGCTTTGTGCAATGTGCCGAAGTACAGAATCACAGAATCATTTAGGTTGGAAAATACCTCCAAGATTCAGTCCAGCCTTTGACTGATCTCCACCTTGTTACCCAGACCAGCGCACTGAGTGCCATGTCCAGTCATTCCTTGAACACTTCCAGGGATGGTGGCTCCACTACCAACCTGGGCAGCCCCTGCCAATGCCTGACAACCCCCTCTGTGAAGAAATTCCTCCTGATGTCCAACTTAAACCTCCCCTGGCACAGCTGGAGGCCGTTCCCTCTCCTCCTGTCCCTTGTTCCCTGGGAGCAGAGCCCGACCCCCCCCGGCTCCCCCCTCCTGTCAGGGACTTGCAGAGCCAGAAGGTCCCCCCTGAGCCTCCTTTTCTCCAGGCTGAGCCCCCCCAGCTCCCTCAGCCACTCCTGCTGCTCCAGCCCCTTCCCCAGCTCCGTTCCCTTCCCTGCACACGCTCCAGCCCCTCCGGGTCTCTCCTGTTGAGGGCCCAGAACTGGGCACAGCCCTCACGGTCCCTCAGCGGTGCCAGCACAGGGACGGGCACTGCCCTGGGCCTGTGCCCACACCATGGCTGGCACAGCCCAGGGGCCCTTGGCCTTCTTGCCCCCCTGGGCACACCCGGGCTCGTGTCCAGCTGCTGTCACCAGCACCCCCAGGGCCTTTCCCAGCTTTGCAGCCCCTCTGCCCCAGCCTGGAGCTGCAGGGCTTGGTGTGACCCAAGGGCAGGACCTGGCACGGGGCCTTGGTGTCCCTCAGCCCACAGATCCAGCCTGTCCAAATCCCTGTGCAGAGCCTTCCTGCCCTCCAACAGATCAACAGTCCAAGCACATGGTGAGTGTTTGGCTGTGTTCCTGTGCCCTTTTGGTGCTCTCTGACACTGTCTGTGCCCCCTGCAGTATGGCTACGCCCCCAAGGGTTCCTCGGTGGTGCTCTACAGCGACAAGAAGTACAGGAAGTACCAGTTCTTCATAGCCCCCGACTGGCAGGGGGGTATCTATGCCTCCCCCTCCGTGGCAGGCTCCAGGCCTGGTGGGATCATAGCTGCATGCTGGGCAACTCTGCTGCACATAGGAGAGTCAGGCTACGTTGAGGCCACGAAGAGGATCATTAAAACAGCCCGTTTCCTCGAGTCAGAGTACGTGTCTTTGTGTTTGGGTTGTGCTCTTCAACCCTGTGCTGCACTCCTCCTCCCAAACTGCTCCTGTTTCTGTTTCCCTGGAGGAGCTACGGCATGGGACCTGCTGGGTAGGGACCTGCTGAGCAGTTCTGGGAGAAGATGCTTTGTTTGTGCCCAGAGAGGAGGGGTGCAGGCACCTTTATTCAGCTGGCTTTGCTTGGAGAATTCCTTCTGCCTCAGCCATGGCTGAGGAGGGAATCTGAACGGAGGACAAAAGAAGGGTTATGCTCTCTCTTGTTGGGGTATTTGTGTGGCTGCATGAGAGAAGCTGGTTTTCTCTGCTAGTCTGTCTTCCCTTGCCTTTCTGTCTTTTTTCCATTTCTTCCTGAATTTACTTGACTTTAGGGTATGTCATGACCCGGCTCCTCTTGCAACTCCCACTGACCTGGGCTGGCTGCATGATTTTTGGGTGGGAATGTGCTGTCATCTGTTCCCTTCTGTAGCTTTTCCCTTAAGGCTCCAGCTAGGTGGACAGAATGTCTGAACCCTGGTCAGTCATTTCTTTTCTCCTTTTTCCATCCAAGGTTGAGAAAAATTGACAGCATCTTCATTTTTGGGAAACCAGAGGTGTCTGTGATCTCCATTGGCTCGGACACTTTCGACATTTATCGATTATCCAATTTTTTAGCTGCAAAAGGATGGAACTTAAATGTCCTACAGTTCCCACCAAGGTGAGTGTGTGGAGGCCAGGATATGCAAGAGGGTGTGCAAGATAGGCATCTTCAGGCCACACAGCTATTATGATTTGCTGAGTGGTGTTGTCCATATCTGGTAAATTGTGTGTAGACTTGTCCTCTGCAGAGAAAGAATTACTTCTGTAACTGCTGATATACAGCAGTGAGGATAAAGCAGTAGTAATTTTTAATGAGCATGGCAGAGGAACATATCTGAGGCTCGCTTTCTATTTACCTCTAATGCAAGCAGAAAAATATAAATAACCAAGGCTTTATCTCACGTTAGTTAACTGAGGGTTTATAGATTTATTTTTAGTATCTTCCTGCTGCCCATTGGAGATGAAGGTAATTGAAAGAACAGTGAAGGGCTGATCATTTTCAGTGATGTAAAATGAATGTTTGCCAGAGACTTTCCTTAAGTGGGTAGTTGGGTTTTTGTGGGTAAAAGGGGCCAGTGCTGTCAGATGTAGCTGCACTGAAAAAATTTTTGACTGGCCACACGAAGCAAAGTCTAGGGAGCCTGAGGTGATAGCTCAGAGGTACATGTAGCCCTGTTCCTTCTGGTGGATGCCAGCTTGCACTCTGGGGGGTGGTGATGGCTTGAAAGCTGCAGAGGAAGGAGAGGGAAATGATGGCAAGGATTACCATCCTTGCAGGCATTGCATTTTTCTCACCAGAGGTCCCTGGAATGAGGTGAGAAAATGATAGGCCTTTAATGTAATGGTGAAGTCAGGAAGGAAGGGAGGACGAGCTGACATTTGCAGAAGAAGAGCTGAACTCTCCAAGCTTGGTTCCTGTAAGTATTTTGCAGGGATTACCCTTAGTGGTGCTTAGGGAATGCTTTTTTAGGGAGATACATGGTTATCACTGCTCAGAGAAGGACTCAAGTGCTGTCAGTTGCTTGGAAAATAGGGAGCTGTATGTTCTGGAGGTGGTTAATCTCTCCCTCTGCCCTGCCTACCCAGCATCCATCTCTGCATTACTCAGCTGCACACGAAGCCCGGCGTTGCTGAAGAGTTCCTGAAGGATGTCAGGGACAGCATCGAGGACATCGTGAAGGACCTCAACGCCAAGACCACAGGCATGGTGAGGAGGCCAGCACACAGTGAGGGGATGTTCTTGGGGGGTGGGCATGTTTCTCCTTTCTAACAGCCTGCTCTTCTCTGCTTAGGGAGCTATCTATGGAATGGCACAGTCCGTCCCAGACAGGAGCTTGGTAGCAGAGATTTCCCAGGCGTACCTGGATGGCCTCTACAGCACGGATGTTCCTTGCAGTGAAAAGCACATGAATGGCTCTCCCAGCCACCACTGACTGTACAGCAACAATGGATGCCTTGCCAGCTGGCACTGGAGTGGTTCCAAAAGTTTCCTAGGGAAGAGATTGCAGTAAGCCTTTGTTCCTACAACTGCAGGTCTGAGCGTGGCTTGATCTGGAAGAATTCCTTCCCTGTCTTAGTCTGTTCTGAAATCCACGTTATTTTCATGCCCAACTTCATTTTTAGGGATTTTCTTCCCCTCCCCCTGCCTGTTTTATCATGGCTGTTGATGGTCAGTTGAATGTCCATTCCACAACTCCAAATTCCTCAGGTATTCTGCGTGTCACTTCATTCCTTGCTGTTCCTCCTCCTCCAGACCTGGTATTCAGCCAGTGTCCAACCAAGTGTTAGATTTGAGTTCCCATGTTGTGTTCCAAAGCTTCAATCTTCCCAGAAGTTAAAGGTAGAAAATAAATTGAAAATTTTGTTTTGTTTTGAGTATTCCTCTAAGCTACTGCATTTAACAGACTGTGCTGGGAGCCTTATATCTGTGTAATGCAGAGCTGATAAATTGGGAAAGGGAAGATGGTCACGGACTCCTTTTGAAATCCCCTCTGGAGATCTCAGTGAGACTGCAATCAATATCTGCTGAGGGGGAGAAAAAAACAACACAAAATCCTTTTCTGGAACTTCTTGAGTAGCAGCAGAAATAGAAACCCAAGCGAGTGGTGTAGGGAGAGGAGCTGGATGGTACAGCTCCCGGTACATCCTGGGTACATCGTAGCTGTTTTGCTTCCCTGCCTCTTCCAGAGGACATGCATTTACCACCTGGAGGGCTGGTTTTTACCTTGCACAATTCCGGAGGGAGGTGCAAAACCAATTTCCCTTCTCATAACTTGAAGGTTTTCCACTGTCCCCTCGTGATGCTGTAGCAGAGCTAGCCAGGCCCTGGATGTCACGTGCAAACGGACGGTGCCAAAGCTGACGGTTCGTTTTTGTTGGTTTTTTTTTTTTTACCACGATCTTTTAGTATCAAAAAGGTGACTTTTGTATTAGCAGTAATCTTTGCACTGATTCTTTTAAGGCACATTCTCAAAAGGGCATTCACCATTGTGCCTTGATGCTTCTCTGGCTTGGTTTTTTTTGGGGTTTTTTGTGGGATGCCAGGGAGGGCTGGAGGGTTCAGCTGTTGGCTGTGGCCTTGGCTGAGGTCGTCTCTTTATGGTACTATGCTGAAAATAAACTGCAAAGGCAGGCTGGCCTCAGAGGAAGGACACCTGCCTGTAAGGTAGGGTAGTAGTTGTATTGAGCCAAGTCCCTTCACAGTATTACAAAGTATTACAAAGATGCTGGGAGAGCTCTGCAGCAAGTTGGAGGTGCTCAAGCCTTGGGCATAGGGCTCAGCCTTCCTATTTTTCTCTGTTGTTTTTATGGTGAGATCGTTTTCCCAGTGCAGCTTGTGAGGCAGTTGTAGCCTCAAGGCCAAGCCAGAATCTCCTTAAGTTATTAAATACCAGTGGAGTTACTCCTGCAGGGCTTTCCCATGTTTCCTCTGAGCTTTTTGCTTGGAACAGAGAGTTTTCCAGGCAGAATTCCACACGTGGGCAAAGATTTCATGCCATGTCTGCACAGGGGATCAGAAGACATTTCTCTGCTGTAGAGGGCCTGTTGCCTGAAGCTGACCCTTGCTGAAGCACACTTGCACAGTAATTTTACAGAATGAGAAAGTCACTTACCAGCCACTGCACAAACCAGTGCAGCCCTGGGCCCAGCCACTGTGGCAAGAATACTGGCTTTCCAACAGCTTTATTCTCAGTGCTGGGAGACAAAAGTATTTTGGCCATCTGCCCTGAAATTGATGACTTGATGCGTGTCTCTGGGCCCTTTTGAAATCATTGAATTGCTTGAGAGTCTCTTGATGGTGTTATCAGCTCTGGCAGTTTGTACTGGACCCACTTATTCTGTCAGGGTCTTGCCAGTGTGGCCATTACTGCATCTCTGAGCTTGCAGTACTTTGGAGACAGTCTTAAGTGTCTGGCTACTGTGATGGTTCTCTTTTGAACTGAGATTTAACAAAACAAAGCAAAAAAGGGAGGTACTCTTTTTGTTTCTGCTTTAGAAGAAGGAAGGGATGGATCAGGGGTGGGCTGAAGGAGAGAGAAAATCCCTTCTCTTCCTTCCCTGGTTGCATTTTTCCTCCCAGGAAGTAGATGGATCTAACAGATAAGTGCTCCATTTCACATTTCTGGAAGTATTTGAAGATGTTATTTGTAAGTCAATGTATTCTATTCTGGGCTTTGCTTATTAATAATATTTGTGGGTTTAGTTGTTTCATGTGTGTTTGTTCTATACTGTAATGTAATCCTGTGGTCAGGAGCGGGCCACTGTAATTTACTTGTGTGTAGTCTTTATTCATCCTGGTCACCTCACATGTAATCTGCATCTCCTTTATCATGCCAAATGGTCTTAGAAAAATGGATTAACAGGCTGTGTGATTACTTAAAAGACAAAAAAGAAGAATTTGATGAACTGGATTATGATCTGAGACTGGATGGTACTTTAGACCTGGAGGGATTTCCATGACTGTTGATTCCCGTGAGATTTCCAGCTGTCAGGTTTTCACAGCTGGACACTGAATTTGTTGCTTGTACAGAGAACTTCCAAGGGATTTGCCTGCTCTTAGGTACTAGACTGAAGAATATCCAATGGGATGGACCAAGAGGAAATGTGTGTCTTCATGCCATGGATTTCATCTGCACTTTTCTGATGACGTGGAGGAGAGGGGAATGGAAGGGTTGCGTACAACACAATAATATCCTGCCCAGTAAATCCACATGGACTTTTTAATGAACAAACAGGATGAGTTCACCTGATGGCAGTATTTGTGTTTCTCTGATTTGCCACTGTAAAACTGGAGGCTGAAATAGCTGAAGAGATGGTGAAAATGGGCCTAGTTTGTATTAAAATGGTGTGTTTAGCTATCTAGGCTCCTTGAGCTCTTATTTTCCTGTTTCGATGGTCATTTGAATGACTGGGGACCTGTTGTTCCTGGTCTTTGCTCATGCACAGCCTGGGCTGTAGCAGGTAGGGATGGTTTATGAATCTTAACAACTCTGCCTGAGGTCTGCTCTGTCATTCTGTCAGGATAAAGGGTGTCTGTGGCTACGTCTTGTGTGTGTGATGTTCAAAGATGCTGAAAGCTCTCATTTAAGAGCTGTGGATTTTCTACTAATGCTTTGTAGAACTTTAAAGGGTTAAAAAAAAAAAAGAGGAAAAAAAATCAGATCTGAACTGGATATTTGTAATGTTTTTCCCCAGACTGTTGTGCTGAAAGCAGCTACTCTTGGTTTCACATCAAGTTGATCATTGTATTACTGAAGATCTTGTACCACCAAATCCACCCCCAACCTCTTTTTGGGACGTAAGCAACCCCTGGCCTGTTGCTGTGCTGCTTTTGTACCTTTTGGTTGTCCCTTCCCTGCGTTTGTGCCTTGGCTATGGCACACATGTGATTTTACACGAGCAGTTTTTACCTGCTCTGGTTTTGACCATCTGCTTTTTCAGACCCTGACACTTTGAGGCCAAGGCATGTGCCGCTTCTCTATGAAATTTCCCCATGGCAGAAGCACCTTCCTGAGAGCAGTACCTGCCTCGGGGAGACCTGTTGGTGTCATTTGATCAGTGAGGCCTCTTTCCAAGCTGACATCAGGTTAACCAAGGCATTTATTGTAAACATTATCACTTGGTATCTTACTAAAGGCCGGTTCCAGTTGAGGTGAGACCACATGCCTGCTTGTAATACTGTTGGAGAGGGGTTACAGGGATGACAAACTGCACATCACCTTGCTGGTTTGTTACAGAGAGACCAAGGGGTTCACAAAACATGTTTTAGGCAGAAAGCATATTCTAGAAGCAAGAACACAGTGGCTGGATGGAGTCAGGCTTGGGAAAGATTTACTGGTGCAATTGTGTAACATGACTCTGGAAGGACATGGAGCTGTTGGAGCAAGTCCAGAGGAGGACACCAAGTTGATTAGAGGAATGGAACAGCTCTACTATGAGGAAAGGCTGGGAGAACTGGGATTGTTCAGCCTGGAAAGGAGAAGGCTTTGGGGTGACCTAATTGTGGCCTTCCAGGACCTGAAAGGAGCCCACAAGAAACATGGAGAGGGACTTCTCACAAGAGCATGTAGTGACAGGACAAGGGGGAATGGCTTTACTCTGACAGAGAGGAGGTCTAGATTGGATATTAGGAAAAAATTATTGCCTGTGAGGGTGGTGAGGCCCTGGCACAGGGTGCCCAGAGAAGCTGTGGCTGCCCCATCCCTGGAAGTGTTCAAAGCCAGGTTGGACGGGGCTTGGAGCAACCTGGGCTAGTGGAAGGTGTCCCTGCCATGGCAGGGGTTGGAATGAGATGATCTTTAAGGTCCCTTCCCACCCAAACCAGTCTGTGTTTCTGTGACATGAGTGATTCCTGGTGAAAGGCTCAGCACTCCGTGGGCTGGGAGCACATGGCTAAGGAAGGTTTTAAGGGCGGAATTTGCAAGCTCAGTATGGGCACCCTGAGCAGGGCCTCCATCCAGGTGAGCTGGGGCAGGGGGACGGGTGAGGTGTCAGGCAGTCTGGATCCCAGGATGTAGCTTGGAAGCAGGACAAGGCTCTGGGGGCAGCTGTGTAGACACGGGTTGTGGCAGTGGCACAGTGGCTTTCTGGCTTCATGTCTCTCTGGTCAGGAGAGGGAAGCTGCGACCTGCTCGATGAAGCTGGCCAGGTTGATGTCCCGCTCCGACAGCCCTCCACACTCGTGGGTGCTCAAGGTGATGTGAACCTGAAGCAGACAGACAGACAGACAGAGTGTTGCTGGCAGAAAGAGCAGGGATGGTTTCCCCCAGTGCTGTAGGTGAGGCACAGGTGGCTCCAGACATTTCCTGGGGTGGGAGAGGTGGCCTGGCACTTTGCCTGGTTTTCTCCTTCCTGCAGCTTGTCCTGTCCACAAGCTGTCACTGCTACCCCTCCCTCGGTCACAGCAGCCACTGTGCCCGCTTCTCAACTCCCTCCTTCCCCAGAAGCTTCTCCCCTACTACTCCTGCTACTTCTGATATGATTTAAAAAAGACACCCCCTGGGACTGGCCAGGGCAGCTCTTGCTCAGCTGGACAGGGAAAAACAAGGAGGGAAAGGATCTGTGAAAGCTGGAGGCTGTCTGGGATAGGGGAATAGCATCTGAGGGAAGAAGTCCTGCTGATGGGAACAGGACTTGCTGCTCCTGTTTTATCCCTCAGAAAAGGGATCTGCTCACTGAAGAGCTCTGTTTTGCCCCCACCATCCCTGTTTCTTACCTTATTGTACACGTTGAACCATTCAGGGTGGTGATCCAGTTTTTCTGCCTGTAGAGCCACTCTGGTCATGAAGCCAAAGGCCTGTGAAGTTAGAAGGGAAGTTAACTCTGAACCACTGACCCTGCAGTATATTGCTTTTCATCCCATTACTGTTAATTTTACACCACCTGTTTTTAGATAACCCAACCAAATGCAAGGCCTGGGATGTTCCGTGTCTTTCTTGGGGTTTTCTGTGGGTTTTCCTTTTTTTTTTTTTTTTTTGAGGAGTTTTTCTCCAGGCAAACTGTGTGCTGAGTTGACCACTTTGGTGTCCTGGGGGAGGTTACCTTGCTCAGCCATCACATTTCAGGAGACACACGGAGGGGTTTCTGTGGCTGAGCCTTGCAGAGGGGACTCCCTGCTCTGCAAACCAGGTCTCCCAGTTTGTAAAACGCGTACCACTGGTGCTCCTACCCGGTTGAAGTCCTTGAAGTGGAACTCCTTGAAGATGGCGTCTCTGCCTTCCACCTCATTCCACCCCACAGCTCTCAGGTTTGGCAGCAGCTGCTCCCTCTCCTCCGTGCTCAGCCTGTGGGCTTTTCCTGCCTGGCACCGCGGGAAGGGAAGGGAAGAAAAGTGAATCAGTGTGGCACAGGTATGATGGAGCAGCTGTTCAGAGCAGCGAGGCATCCCATGGATCCTGGAGTTATGGGAACACAGAGGCAGCTGCAGGGTGGGTGGGAGGGGTGGGATATCAACGCTGCCCTCTGCTCCCTGCCCGGGATACATCCTGCATGTATCCGAGGTCCAGCTGGTCCCTTCTGTCCTCTCACCTGCAACACCTCCCACAGTGTCTGTATGTCCTTGTTACAACCTGATGTACTAAGAAATGATACCTGTGTGAGGTACAAAATACATTACAGATAATTTTCAGGGGGAAACCAAAACCTGAAACTCTGTGATGGTCTCTACATCAGAGAATTGCTTTATGTTTCCCTATTTTACATATTTATTTATTTATTTTATATATTTATTTACTGGGAGCCTGTTTTAGAGGAAAGAAGTGGCGTCAATCAGAGATGAGTCACACTAAACTGCAGTTCAGCTCCTTTTCCTTTTCCATCTCCCTTCTATTACGATGGAGTTCAAGAGGCTGTTTCTGTCTGTGATGAAAAAAGGGCAGAGGGAGAGACTGTGAGTGAGCCTTGTCTTGGACAGAGCTGCTGTTACTTGGTTTGTAAGGGGTGGTGGTGGGGAAGCAGCAATTCCTGGCTTTGGGAAATGGTTATAGGCAAAGATAAAACTAAAATGAAGCATCTATTCTGGCTCTGGGGAAGGCAGGAGTGAGTGCAGAGGGGCATTGCTCTTTCTGAAAGGTTATGTTCTGGCAATTAAAATTCTTTCACAGAATCACAGAGTACTGTGAGCTGGAAGGGACCCACCAGGATCATCAAGTCCAGCTCCTGGCCCTGCACAGGATACCCCAAGAATCCCACCATATGCCTGAGGGTGTTTTCCAACAGCTCCTTGAGCTCTGACAGCCTTGGGTGACCTGATCCTTGCAGCTGGTGATGACAAAGATCAATATCTCTTTGCAATTTCTTTTCCTTTATGTGCTGCAGAGCAAACTGTGGTAAGTTAGATGTGAGTCCCAACAAATCCAGACCACTTTTTTGGGGGTGTTTGGGCAGCAGGGCCTTGAGATACTGTGCTTGGGCATCGATGCTGAGAATTACCACCTTAAACAACTAAGGCAAATCATGGTCTCCTGTGGTTTACCCTCTCCCAGGCTGTACAGAACCAGAGAGGCAGCCGTGAAGCTGATGCTTTTGGGGGTGGTTCTTGCATGTTTTCAGGAAGATTGGAAAGATGATGCCCTATTCCCATGGCTGTGTGGGTGCCTCCCTGTCTGTGGAGCTGTGACCCTTATGCTTGGAGAAAGCTGCCAACTGCATGAGATGGAGAGTGCCAAGGTGTGCCCTGAACCTGAGCGTGGGGTGGCTGTGGGTGGGATGGTTTCTGTCCCCCTGGCATCGCAGCTGTGTGATTTTTGGGGATAGCCTTCCTTGCCCGTTCATGTTTTGGCCTCAGCATTTTGGACGGCCCCCTGCCAGCCCCGGCTCTGTCACCTCCCTCCCCATCCCCCAAATGTCAACCCTGTCCTCCTCCGAGCTCTGGGCTTGGAGGGAAGGTAGTGAGTAAACATGACTTAGCACAATAAACCTGGAGCCGCTGCCCTTCCCTGCCGATGGCGTGATAAGCCGGGCGCAGGTAGCTTAGCAACTGGATGAGGTGGGGACAGAGGCAGGGGGGCACCCGTGGGAGCTGCCCTGGGGACTGATGGGAACGGGGCAGGATTTGGGATCGGGGCTGAAACGTGCTCGTGTATCGGTGCTAAAGGCTGAGTAAAGCTGGAGTTGTTGCTTGGAGCAGAGGGATGTGGATGCCGGGGCTGGGCTCCAAACCAGCCTCCCCTGTGCAGAGCAAGAAACCAGGCTGCTTGGGAGGGACGTGGTTTAATTGTTCTCTCGAACGCTTTTCTTTGCTGTGGGAGGACAGGCCCCGGGGCTTTTTCCAGGCCCAGCTCCTCTGCCAGAGCCCAGCACCAGTGGGAAGCATGGCCAGGCTGAGGTTTGGTCCACTGAACACTGTGTCTTGTGATGGCAAACCCTCTGCCTGGAGCACCCCTGTGCCCTCCAGCCTCCTCCAATCCCTCCTTCTCCACCCCAGCACATTGCCCAGCCCGCTGTTTTTGTCAGTATGGCACGTTAATGCTTTCAAGTGCACTTAGTCCTTTAAAACACACTCTTCTCATTAGGGAAATTAAATTATTTTGTTTTCTTCTGCTGGCT